AACAGCAAATGTACAATGTTTCGACAAGGTTTTGTCATCATCAGGTACCTGATGATGACAAGACCTTGTACATTTGCTGTTATGTTAAACTTATATTAAAGTTTTTCTTCATTACCCATTCAAGCCGTTTCCAGCCATTATTTCATACCCATAATTGTATGGCTTGCCCCACTCATTTAACTGATTCTTATGTTTTGGCATACAACCATTCTAATTTCCCATTTCTCAACTCCCAGTTTTTGGAATCACTTATGCCTGTTTGGGGAGTGGACTTTTTTAATTCCAGTTTTGCTCTCCAATGCCCAATTTGTTTACCTTCGTATCTTTCTCACCACCCTCCTTTGTTACCTCTCCACTCTATCCGTCATGTCTGAGGTACTCCATCATGCCCCAGATGATTTTTCTGTGGAATTTCATTTCCTTCTGGTTTTTCTGTTGTTGAGGTTTTTTAGGTAGGGTTAACCTTCTTTTTCAAGTACATCTGCCCACTTCATTTCACCATGAACTATGCCTTTACCCTCTTTCATCATCTTGAGGTCTTTGGTGGTATTCCTGATTTTCTCTGTCATCCATTTGTATCCAATTTTTCTGGATACCTTGCCATGTCGGTATTCAATGGGAATGAGCTTGCTGACACCACCTGTAATTCCATCTGTTTTGGCATTGTCACAACCATGCCTGTTCCACAAAAATAGACAAAGGTCCTGTTATCAAGGCATGACTTCATGCCAGTTGGCAGTCAATTTGGGGTGAGCAACTTCATAACAAGCTTTTCCAAATCAAACCTACTGTTATTGTTTGGCTGTCTATGATTGGAGGAAGGAAGTTGTCCTGTCTAGGCTACACATTGGTCACAGATTTTTAACTCTCAGTTTTCTTTTATGTGGGACTGATTTGCCAACGTTTGGCCTTTGTGACACTCAGGTCTCAATTGCCGTCATTATGACTGCGAATGGTGGCACAATTTTAGACATTTTTTTCTTGGGGTCTATCCCTGATGTTAGACAGTGTCATTGGTGATGGTGCCACTGTCCAGCTTGACTGTGTTTTTAGCTTTTTATGAACCATGGGCCTTTTTAAATCTATATAGTTTTTAACCTGATTTTTGGGCATTGTTTAGCTTTTAGGCTCTTTTCTTTTTACTTTTATATTGGTTGTTTGGTGCAGATAACCACAGTTCTAACTCTGTTTAGTTTTACCTGATTTTTGGGCATAGTTTAGTTTTTAGGCTCTTTTCTTTTTACTTTTATATTGGTTGTTTAGTGCAGATAGCCACATTCCTTGCTCCATAAAGCCCCAAACAACAACAATTCAAGTGCAAAGAGGGAATTATTGTACATGACGTGTGTGTCACTCTTCTATTGGTGGAGAGTGCAATTCATGTAATATTACATGAAATTAGGTGGAAATTGCCTCAAGGGTAGTGATAATACAAATATCTCTAGCAGACATGGGAGGAAGATAACCATATTTGTGTGTAGAGATGAGTATGTATTAGAAATACATTTTCAGGTAAGGGAAATGTTAATTTTTCTTAGTGTTTAGGTATGTTCCTTTAGTTCAGCAAGTTTAATGAACTATAAAAGATGACAGCTATTTAAATGAATATAATTTTATAATTGCTGGTCACTTATTATTCTTTTTCATCATTTTACCTTCCTGTAGGTGAGGAAATGAATGGTTTTCAAGTTGCACTAGCTTTGTTAGGAAAGATGTCCATCACAGCTTCATTTACTGTGATCTATGTGTATTCTACTGAACTGTTGCCAACAGTAATCAGGTGGTTAAATCTTTGATGTTTTGTGTATATTGAACATCTGTACTTTACTGTGATTACTTGTTGCTTAATATTTATGTTAGATTGGTAAGATTTAAATAAATACACGCTTTATCATTCTAACATACATATTAAATAACAACAATGTAAAGGGTTTAAATAAATGTATTTATTATGTATTACTAGGGTAGTGTTGTTCTAATTTTGGTTTCTAATAATTAAAAACATCTCAGTAAAATATAACTAATTTATACAGAAATATTTTTTTCAGTAAAATAAAATGTGTTAAAATATGCATTTAAATACATTCTATCAAATCACAAACTCTAAGTTACAACTCTTACCTAGACATTTCACTGAACAATACCTAATGTAAATGAAATATGCTATTAGACTGTAATCTTAGGCTTAAGCATCTCTATAAACCCCCTATTAGAATACCTTGTTTACTCTTTACTAAGGTTACTTACATTTTAAGCTCAGCTTTTCGCTGTAGTAACCTATAAATTAGCCATATATGTATTTACCAGATGTTTCTTTGTTCATCTCTAAGTGGAAATTGATTTATACTGTAGCTTGGCCTTAATTCATCATTTTGGTTTAAAAAACAAATTATGTCCATAACTTTATTCATAGTTTTAATAATAATACCAAAAAGTAGATATATAAAGGTTACCTGATGCATGACATTTTTGGTTCAAGGACAGTTCGCTACTGAACATTTCACTATTGATCAGCTTGATACTAGGGTATTTCGCTACCAGGTCATTTCTCTACCTGTTCCAGCTATGTATAAATAACTCATTATGGCTCAACAACTATTTGAGGAAAGCCTGAATACTTTTTTTTAAAAGTTCAGATCTTTCATCATTTTAAATAAAATGTTTTACAACATAAGAGACTTTTTATTTTGAAAGAGTTTTTCTAATAAACTAATATTGAAGAAATATTTTCTAATATTTTACTGACTGGAGTGTTTGTCTAATGAACTAATACTGATGAAATATTTTTATTTTATGATCTTAAATAAGATATATAATGGAGATTATGACATAAAATGGTCAGATAGCAAAATGACCTATTAGTGAAATGTTCAGTAGTGAACTGTCCGGCCACCAACATTTTTATCTTAATTTTGTGTTTTGTAACTAACAGGTGTATGTGAAATACAAATACCTGTGCATGAATAATTATAACAAATAGTAATAATGTTGTAATTCTCATTAGAAATGTGCTAAATGACTGGTAAATTATATCTTTATTGTATGATTAAAATCAGTGTTAAATGGAATACACTACTGTGACACTTTTAACATTTACTCTTTTTTTTTCTAGAAACTTGGGATTAGGAATTCTGTCTTCAGCTGCACGGATTGGAGGAATTCTTTCTTCATTTATTAGTCTTCTGGTAAGAGTATATGTTAAAAAACAAATATTCGATTTTCTCATTCAAATTAGTAAGAGTTACCATCTTTGATCAAAGATGGCACAAAATGTTACAAAAGTATACATGTATTGTGTGTGTATATATATATATATATATATTCTTTTAACTATTATTGATTTTTTATCTCATTCTAAACAGGATGATGTATATCCTCTGCTTCAATATACTATCCTGGGTTTTTTTGCAATTGTTGCTGGTATTTTCAACACTTGGCTTCCTGAAACATTAGGTAAACCTCTGCCTGAAGACATAGATGACATACGTGACTATAATGAACCCTCCCCTACTCATGTAGAAACACACCAACTTCTTCCATTAGAACCACAAAATCTTTTAGTAGAGGATGAAGAAGAGACATCATCAGAGAAAGAATTTAACTTGGAAGAAACTATGTCTATCCTCAAAACACGGTAGTATAGTTAAATTGTTAAAAGTTATTACAGTTACAGGGAGCTTTGGTTAAAGATCAGTATTCTTCTGGCTAAAAAGTATAGAGATAATTTCCTTGTAACAAATTACCAAAATACATAACGGCAGTAATGATAATTATCAGACTGTTAAAGAAAAGTAAAATGTCTTTCACAGTGCTTGTTAGTTATTGATGTACACTTTTAGAGTACATGATTGCACTGTACACTACCTAAATGTGGATTACTGTAAGAATATATCAGAGTGTTATCCTTCAAAGTACATGATGAAAATAGGGATAATGTATTTATCAATAATACTTTATGTAATAGAGTGCTATCCTTTAAAGTACATGATGAAAATAGGGATAATGTATTTATCAATAATACTTTATGTAATAGAGTGCTATCCTTTAAAGTACATGATGAAAATAGGGATAATGTATTTATCAATAATACTTTATGTAATAGAGTGCTATCCTTTAAAGTACATGATGAAAATAGGGATAATGTATTTATCATTAATACTTTATGTAATACTAAAACTACATAATTAGATATTTTACTTGCTGTTTGTTAGCAATAACATTTTAATATGGTTGTCAATGTGGATGAAAAAGAAAAAACACTTGACCTTGAAATAACTACTGCTTATTCAGTTGGGTTTATGACATCTGAAATATTTTTGTAGATAACAGTTATTTTTTTATTTCTTTTGTGCATCTAACTTGTTTAAACAAGTTGTAAGAACCCTCAAAATCTTTCACTGTATGTTTCTTTAAAGCAATATTTTCAGCTATTACACAGTTTTATAAACATGTTTCTTACTTGGATCGTTAACAATTCTGTAATTCTCATTGAATTGTAGTCCCATTCAAACCTGTGTAAGCATAAAGGAATATGTAATAGATTGTACTTACTTGTTTTTAAAGAGTATTTCAGTTGTTAATGCTGACTTGTATAATTTTTGTTACAAGGACCTCATCTACGAGTGAAATATTTTGATATTCTCAATGTTTTAAAGCAAAATTTTTAAATGGAATTTTATTGTTTTATCAAATCAATATAAATATACATACATGTATGTGCATTTTATTATGTTTTGTAGAATTAAGTTTGTTGACTTTTTCAGTAACTAAATATTTATATGTATCCAAGAAATGTTCAAGATTAGTGCTGGGCGATTAACTCAGTTAATCAATATAATCAGTTGCACATGAATATCAATTAATTTCACATAAAGAATCAGTTAATCAAAATTATTTTTTCTGATTATTCCTAATCTTCATTATTCAAACCATCCAGTATCCAAGAGTCATCATAACAAGAATCACTGTTCTAACAAAGTCAAAGTTTGGTTTCAAGCTATAACTTACATTTATATATCTATCTGTATGTGTGTGTGTGAGAGAGAATATCCAAGTATTTGAAATATTCCATTATTATTTTCTATCAATCCATATTTTTTCAGCTTAATTGATTAGTGTTATAACATATTACATTAATCAACTTATTGAAATTAGAGTTTCTAGTTACCTTATATACTCATGAAATAGTTGAATTTGTGTGACCAATTTTTTAGGCTATGATTTAGGGGTCAACTTTTACATGAGTAATACTTTCGAAAGGTTGCATGCATACTCAGTAAGAGTCAATAAAACGTGAAACAATAGTCCAATTCATATAAAAGACAATAAACAACAAAAAAAGCAGTTTTGATTTTTTATTTACAAAAAAGGTAAACATGAAAACTGACATTATCTTAATAATAGAATAATCAGTTTTTCAGATAAACATGTTACATATCTATCTACCAGTAGCATTAGCACCCTACATGAGAATACATTAATTTCTTTAAAATTACAATACTTTGATATTATATTTTTAGTTAAGATACAACAAGAAAAATTAATGTTATCTTTGGCTAAGATACTTCATAAAGTTATCGATTATAATTTAATGATTGTATAAACAGCCTTTAACAAATACAGTAAGTTAGGTAAGAATAACCTACCCACTACATTCAAAAGAGAGGCAGTTATAAATTTCATATGGCCTTAAATGCTGTGAATTCACTCTCTCATCATCTGCATCATTGGATAATGCTTCCCAATCATCTGGATAAATCATCATATGGATCATCTTCATTGTTGGCAATTGCAATTAGAACATTATTGGCTTCTTTTTCATCATCAACTTCATAAGTCCATAAATAGTTATCCTCTGTGCCATCTAATGCATTTGAAATTCCACATTTTATTTGAAGGATTTCACAATAATATCAGTTTTTAGTTCCTTCCAAGATTTTACAATCCATTCACATACCACTGCCAATGTCAGAGCCCTCATGTTGCCTCCCTTCATGAAAGTTTTTCTCCCTCTTGCATCCAGTTCATCCACAATGTTTTCATCAAGTCCTTAACTAACATTCAATGGTTGCAGTAAGTTTGTAAGACTGCCATGAATCACAGCCACATCAGCATTGCTTGATCAAACTTCAGCCACAACATTCTTCACTTGGAGAGATTTATACTTGTCCCAGACAAACAAATTTTTTGTAGTCCACCAGGTCATAAATTACACACTTCTTTCAACCGTTTTTTGCTGCTGCCTTCAGCCATCTAGCCTTTTGCATGCACATGGATGACAGTTCCTTTAGGAAACTTTTCCTTTGGTATGATTTTTCTCTTAAAGACAACCATCGGCTTTAGCTTAGTTTCATCAGCCATAAAAGAAAGTACTAAAGCAAACCTAGTTATTCTATGGCCAGTCATCTTAACAAATATTGTTTTTCTCCACTTTTGTTTACAGTTCAATTTCCCAGCAAATCAAAAGTCACGTGTTTCGTCCACATTGCCAGTGCAGGATACTTTGTAGCCATGCTTCTGTTGATTTCTTGATTGTAAATCTGTGGAATTTGCTGATCTTGTTTTCTATTGTTGCTGTGCAATCTTAGTTTTTTGGCGAAGTACTAAGTCATATCTGTTCATAAGTCTAGTACATGATCCAGCAGTGGCCTTAAATTCTATGATGTCATCTGTTTTTGCTTCTTTCCAGATGTAGATTCTGATGGATGCACAAGACAATATATATCCACTCTGGCGAGATTTGTTAATCTACTCTGCAACTATTTTCTCTAACAGTGACCACTTGTCTGACTGTTGACATTTTCTTAAGCTTTATGGAAATTTTTCTCCAATTTCACAATTTTATCAAATACACAGAATTCTCTAGCTAACACACAATTATTCATCTTCTCTGCAACCTCAATGACTTTCAGTTTAAAAACTACTGTGTACTTGATTTTCTTTCTTGAAGTCATTTTGACAGATAATGAGGGGAAAAGTTTTATGTTCAAGAGCTCAACCTTATGGCTGTATTTCACAACTGCTTCAGGGAAGCTGAGACATCAGAGAGAAAAGAATCTTAAGCTACTTACCACTATCTCTACAGGCATCCTTTCATGTGAATGTCACAATGTTTTAGTGACTTAACATTCAAAAAGTAATTCAACTACATTCCTACCATGGTATACTAATAAATATAGCAAAAAAATAGCTAATTATCCATATTTTAGTAGTATATAAGTTTTAAATTCTTAATTTCATAATGCAATATTAAAAAAAAATCCTGAATTACCCCTAGTTTGAGAATTGTGACGTATACTCTCTAGGCATCCTCTTTACACTAATGTACTTACCACCCCTCCAAAAAGTACAAAATTCAATATAAATGAATTGTTATAATGTTGTCATCACTCAAGCAAAGAAAAGTGTATCAAATGACATATTATTCTACATTGTTTTGTCTATAGAGAATATTCAATTTGGCTTTCAGTTCAACTTTTCTCATGGGAAACATATCAACAAGCTTAGCTGAATGTCAAACAACTCTTAGTGCATAGCTAGAAAGCCTGAAATAATTATGGACATATTCTGCTTTTTGCGTGTTATTACTGTGTGTTCTTTAGAGCATTATTTAATTAAATAAGAAATTATTTTGTGCAGTAGTACCATTAGTATAAAAAATGTAGGTTTAAGTATTATTGCAAATCAACAACAAAAAAAAGACCCAAGTAAGTACTTTATTTGTTGTTTTTCATGTGCATTCTTTATTTATTATTTTAAAAGTGACTAAAATGAAAGATAAGAAATTTTTTGAGTTAGTTAAGGTTAGATTAGGTAAAATAATATAATAGAAATTTTTCACAAGGTATGCTCACAAGTAGCTTGTGCATGGTGTAATCGTGAGCTGCACGTTCACCAATAATGTATCACTTATAATGGCAGGAATAGTGGTTAGACATGGTTCAAAAGATAATATAACAATAAAATTTAAGTATAAATAGATGTGTACTGCTATGAGTTTAAAGCTATTTAGGATATATATACAAATGTAGTTTCATGTTACAATTTAAAGTCATTCTAATTATAGTACTGAAACTATATAAAAGTAAAAATGTTCACCTGGTCGGTCTTTGGAACCAAGTTTTTGTTGGTAGATTTAAGTGTTTTCACAAGTTTTGTTATAAAGTGTGACCTGGACTGGGTGAATGGCTGCTTTCTTAGGTTGCCGGAAAAACTTTTACATGAGAGATATGAAAAATTCAGATTTTTTCGGTCAAAAATCATGGCTCGACTATTACACGTGTATGTACAGTATTAATGTTTTTGATTATTCTAAATATATAAATCATGTTTGTTTGGCTTCAGGCTGACATGGCCTGATAGTTGGAGGGGTTGTCTCCTGGTTCAAGAGTCTCGGATTCATTTCCCATTGCCACCAAATATACTTGCCCTTCATCTGCAAGAGCCTTATATTTGTTTTTTGTGTTTGATTTATGGCAAAGCTACCAATGCTATCTGCCACTCTACCTAATATTGAACTGCTAACAAAAGTAATAAATATCCCAGTATTCCATAACAATCTTATATTCTTTTCCTCAACCTTATTGACTGGTGAACAACTTTTAAAGGGGTATGTATCTAGGCAACATCCAATAAAACCTGAGAGTGTTAAATTTAGTATTTTACTGATTTATAAAATATAACCAAGTAATGTTTATTTTCATCAACGAAAAGAGTAGTTGCTTCAAAATTTTTAGAGAGCAACCAAAGGAATGGTATTAATCATATTTTCAGCTTATTACAGGTTTTCTTATACATCATATATATATATATATATGATGAATCCTAAATTGTTGTACCTAAAGATATCTATCATATTTAAACATAGGGTAGTTCAAAAGTTACTTTAACAAAACACAAAACATTTTGAAAATAGGGATATTAGTCTCATATGAGAACAGTTAGTTATTTGAATTGATTAATGATCCCAAAATTAATCAATCTACAAATTCCATTAATCACCCAGCTCTATTCAAGAGGTCGAAGAGGTTCAAGTTATTCCAGTATTTCTCAACATTTCCATGAAAGGTCATTTCATATTAAAGACAGTGCTTATCTTTATGTATAATGTATGTAGAAATATGAAAACTAATATTTAGGTTTGTGTAATGTTAAACTCACTGATAAATACCTTAGAGATTCTAATAATTATATTTTCCCGAATTGTAATGTTGTGAGTAAACTTGTTAACATAAAATTTAGTATGTTAAAACTATATGTAACTATATTGTACAGGAAAATAACATGATTATTCAGTCATGTAAAAATATTTTCTAGAAATCTACAGGAAACAATAACTTGTGGCTTCAAAAGAAAGAAAGTGCTAACTCAGTTCAAAATCAGCTTTGTGAATATTTCGTGTCTGTTAAGTTCACATTTTATTTTGTTCAAAGTATGTAAAGCTAGATTTGAATTTCTTAAATATGGCTATGCATCCTTTACCTCATAAGCTGTTCACAGAAGTTGATTAATTATTTATATGTGGCTGCTCTTCTCTAATCCATAAAGGCTACATGCCATTATATGAAATCTATAAAGATTTTCAGTGTTACAAAAATGAATTGCTTAATGTAGTATCAGGAAAACCTATAAATATTC